GCCCTGGATCCGGCAGATGACGAGTTCTCTATTTCCAACTAAGTGATATGAAAGATGGAGGGACTTAAAGGCGAACACAGACCACGTACGCCTACTGACGATCCGCCCTTAAGCCGAGGAGTGTAGGGAGGTCATCTAGAGAGAGAGAGAGAGAGAGAGACGTAATGTATTAAAGTTCTTCTAGAATGTAAACAGCGAATTCAGTCAAAATAGAGTTGTATTATAACACTGAAATGAAAAACTCAGAGAGCGTAAAATATATATTAAGACATACTGAACACTGGAAATACCTCAGTTCAAAGAAAACACAACAAGGTTAATTTCCAAATTCCTGGAAAACGAAATCCAGCAGCCAGTTTCCTTTTATGATGTCTGTAATGAACGAACAAGAAACCACGACGTGAGACATACTAAGACATCTCAAAGAACAATAAAAAATAGATTCACTTCTCTTTGCCTCTCAGACAATGATACGTTGGTAGGTCTGTGGAATAGCGAGCGAATCCGCAGAATACGTGGGAGCGAGAACAGTGTCACCCTTTGAGAGACAGCTGGACCATGTCAGGCGGAGCTATGTGGTAGTCTCCCTTCCTCCCCCACCCGTCCCCTTCCCTCCTCCCTCCCATCCCCTTCCCTCCCTTCCACCCCCTCCTTCCCTCCCCTCCACCCCCTCCTTCCCCCACTTCCTCTCCCCAAACAGCAGACATCCTTCCCTACCTCGACCTGGGGCCACGACAACACACGGTGGTCGTTTGGGTTAAATCTACCGACACGAGTCAACATTTTCCTATATTTTCCCCTTTACCTTCTAGGGGAAACCATAGAAAGGGGGGACATTCATTTGTTATTTTCCCCTAATAAAATTCATATAACGTTTTTTATTCTTTACACAAATCATGACGTAATAGGGACGTGCCGTTTGTTATATATCCTGAAAGATAAAGTTTTATACTTATTCTTTTCGCAGACATTGGTATCAAACTTTCCAAAATGATGGACTTAAATTCATGTGAACACGTTTATATAATTCAACAAGTGAGGCAGTTTTTGTTTTGTTTTACGTTTACTTGCTGCTTAGTTGCCCCTTAGTCGAGCCAGTGCACCCGAGCTACTACCCTCTGATCCACTACTACCACTATCTTCTGATCCACTACAACTACTACCACTATCCTCTGATCCACTACCACTATCGTCTAATCTAGTACAACCACAACCTTCTACCTATAGTCCTTGAAGGGTTAAACCATTGTCCTCACAGGTTTAATCATTCATTCTCAAAGGGTTTAAACTTTAAACCATCGTCCTTAAAAGGCTAGGCCATCCTCCACAAAAGCCTAAGGGCAACAGATCCTCATGTACTCTGTTCCACGCTAGTCCCGGGTAACAACAGAGACATACACACTACCTTCGCCTACCTGTCCATGTAAACAAAGGTATATATTGTTTTATTTCTCATCGCTACCAATAAGAACGGCACTACAGTGAAACCTCCATATAACGGATTTATCTCTCCATATAATCCGTTAGATGGGGGTTTCACATCTAACGGACCCTCGATATAACGGATTTTTATCTTTATGTAGTTCGTTATATGAAGGATTCACATCTAACGGAGCCTCGATACAACGGATTTTCCTCTCTCTCTATATATAGTCCGTTAAATAGAGGTTCCACTATAACTCGTATCTTCCACCTCCAAAACTCACCAACAATGCTCCTTTAAGCCACGACAACCAGTGCCTTCCTCCCTCCTTCAGGAACGGAAGTGAGTGGCGTCGTCTGCGTAGCGCCGTACACGCTCTCCTTCGACCGGAAGTAGTGAGCAGGTACCGAGCGGCGCAGAATAAGGTGGCGGAGGACCTGGTATGTCTCCTGATGGCGCGTTACCCATTACAAGAGGGTCCTGAAGGTGGGTCTCACGTCGTGCCGGACCTTCTGCCTCTGCTCTTCCATTACACACTAGAAGGTGAGAAATGGGAAAGATCTTGAGAGGAGAGGAAATGGAGTCATAAGGGAGGAGGAGGAGGTTGTGTGTGTGTGTGTGTGTGTGTGTGTGTGTGTGTGTGTGTGTGTGAGGGATCGTGAGGAATGGTGAGAGATGGATATGAGGTGGTTGATGATGAAGGTAGATGATGATAAAGATCTAATGGTGAGAGGTTGTGTGGTTAAGATAGGAGAGAGAGAGAGAGAGAGAGAGAGAGAGAGAGAGATACAACACACACACACACACGCACACAGGTCGCCTCTTAAAAGAGACATTCAACAAAATTAGCGAAAGTGTTCAAGAGTTTCTCGGTAAACATAATCCCTATTTACCATTGTTTACAAAGAGGGAAGCGGAGGAGAGGAAGATAGATAAGGAGGAGGAGGAGAGGGCAAGGAGACGTCCGGATTTTGCCTGGTATGGTCGGAAGCTACTGAGAGCTATGGGGGTGATGGGAGGAGGTAGAGGGATAGGGAAGAAGAGAGGAGGCAGGAAACTGAAAAAGTGGAAATACAATGGGAGAGATAGAGAAAGGAGAGCAGGAAGGAAGGAAGGAAGAAAGAAAAACTGAGAAGGGAAAACTAATGATAGTGGTGTTAGTGGATAATCTTGGGGGGGAGGGAGGGAGGGGGAATCGCAAGGGGAAAGGAAGAAGAGGGAAAAGGAAGAGGAAAAAGATTGTAAATGGATAAGTAATGTGAGAAGGAAGGAAGAAGAGGAGAGAAGAGAAGAATCGCAATTGGGGAGGGAGAAGGAAGGGGGAAGAGGAGAAGGAAGGGGGAAGAGAAGTGTAATAAGCTAACCTAACCTGACCACTAATGATTAGCGAGGGACAAAGGTTGAAGACTAGAACGAATGGTGGGGTAGTGGTGAGTGAGGAATGGTGGTGAGTGGGAGTGAGGAATGGTGGTGAGTGGGAGTGAGGAATGGTGGTGAGTGGGAGTTAGGAATGGTGGTGGTGGTAGCGAGGGTTATGATGAGTGGTGGTGGTGATGAGTGGCAATGGTTAGTGGTGGTGATTCGTGACACTGAGAGATAACTAACATATGGTGGCACTGAGAGATAACTAACATGTGGTGGCACTGAGAGATAACTAACATGTGGTGGCACTGAGAGATAACTAACATATGGTGGCACTGAGAGATAACTAACATGTGGTGGCACTGAGAGATAACTAACATATGGTGGCACTAGAGAGATAACTAACATATGGTGGCACTAGAGAGATAACTAACATATGGTGGCACTGAGAGATAACTAACATGTGGTGGCACTGAGAGATAACTAACATGTGGTGGCACTGAGAGATAACTAACATATGGTGGTACTGGAGAGATAACTAACATATGGTGGCACTGCATCATGGTGTTGACAGACGGCGATAAAATATAGTGGAAAATCGTGTTGATGGAGACGACGAGTAGTGTGTGTAGGCGTGAGGCGTCGTAGAGAGAGAGAGAGAGAGAGAGAGAGAGAGAGAGAGAGAGAGAGGGAGGGAGGGAGGGTGAGGAGAGACAGATGTTACTGATCAATAAACTCGCCTCCCGACTCACCTTGCTGGCCAGCCAACACTACTTCCGGTTACATTGCCGGTATGATGGGTCGCGTCGTGCATTACTCTGGTTGTGGTTGGTCGTGGTTGTGGGTGGTTGTTGGTTGTTGGTGTTGGTAGCTGTGGGTTTTGGTGATTCTGGGTGTTGGTAGTTGTGGGTGTTGGTGATTGCGGGTGTTGGTGATTCTGGGTGTTGGTGCTCGTATGGGCTGGATGCGGTTGTGGTGTCGAACAGCAATTCTCGGGCTAGGGATCTCAGGTGGTAGTAGGAGCCGGTGTCGAGGATGGTGCAGAAGCTTCTTACCAAATTTGCAGATGAGGTCGTGGTGATGGTCAGTGAGAGTCGAAAGGGTCAGTGTGTTGAGCGCTTCTTGATATGTGGAGTAGGAAGGGGAGAGAATAATCTTGCATGCCCTCTTTTGCTTTTTCTAGGTGTTTACGTTGTGTGGCATTTAGGGAGGAAGACCAGGTGGGGAGGCATAGGTGAGCTTGGGAAGTATGAATGTTGAGTGAACACTGAGGAGCTCGGGTGCAGGAACCTGAGGGACTTGAGTCGGCGGGAGGAGGTGGAGACGGAAACTGGAGGATTTGACAACTTCACTGACGTGTGGTTTCCAATTTAGTTTGTTGTCTATGGTGACGCCGAGGAGCTTAGTGGAATCTACAACCTGGAGTGTGTTCGGACCCAGAGTAATGGAAGGAGGTGGGACAATGTCGGAGGAGAGGTTGATGTGCCTAACTATGGTCTTGGTATGGTTGGTGGTGACATACAGTAGTTGTTGGTGGCCCAGTTTTGGAGACTTCAATAAATCTTGAAGGGCGGTATAGTTGGGAGCAGAATTGTTGACGCTGATCCCAATGGTGGGGTCGTCGACATATTTCCAGCGAGCAGGGGTTTCTCTTAGGGCATCATGTATGTATGTATGTATGTATGTATGTATGTATGTATGTATGTATGTGGTAGCTTTCATGTTGGCAATTGTGGTAGTTTTAATGGACCTAGGTGATGATTGTGATTGTGGTTGTTGTACTAGTGACAGGGGTGGTGGTGGTGACTGCACACCTGGATGGTGATAATAACATTCAGAATAAACCACATCTGACGCCATAGGAAGGATTATTATCACTGAAATTTTTTGTGGACGAAGTGTTGGCAGGGAGTCGAGTGGTCATTTACAAAGTGGTTCTCAAGACATTGGGGCTTATCTACTGAAACCAATGAGCTAATTTGCATAATCATCTCAGGTATGCAAATTAGTTATATTCCACGAACGTTGATTTTTGTTTATTTTGCTTTTGTTTTTGTTAAGGGCACTTTTTTGTGGGGTAGACTGAAAATATATGAAGAAGAACGTTTTGAATTACTACTGGAGGTTACTTTCACCTGATAAAACTGTGAAAAGTTAATAATTATGAACTAAGAGTAATCATTATCATCATTAAAACACCCACAGATGATAAGAGAAAGCTAACCCACACTGGAGGAACTAAAGACAAACATTATTTACGACGAATCAACTCATCCCTGAAGCTGTCATGAGGGCAGAGATCAGATGTTGTGTTTCTGGTGTAGTGATGGCAGGTGGGGGGCAACACTTGACGTAACCCTGAACACTAAATATCGTCATTTTTAACACACAGATGAGTCTTATCGCGTCACTCGTCCCTCCAGTCACTCGTCCCTCCAGTCACTCGTCCCTCCAGTCACTCGTCCCTCTCCACAGTCAGTCACCCACTCTCTCTCACTCTCGGTATAGATTCCAGCTGCTGATCCTCCTCTCACAGGCTGTATTTCATCACTACAGAATCCGTAAATACCAGCAGGGCGACGACACATCAGTTAAACAGTTCAGTCGGTAGCTGCTGAATTCGCTCTGGTATATATGTACACATAAGATTAGGTTAGGTCAAGTCAGGTCAGGTCAAATTGTGTTAGGTTAGGTCAAGTCAGGTCAGGTCAAATTGTGTTAGGTTAGGCTCTGGTATGTGGTGCTCCTATAGTGGACAGTCAGCGCCCCGTCGTTGTCGCTTGTGTGTCCACCAAAGTTCTGTCTGTCTGTCTCCGGGTCATGCATTTGTATATCCTTATTTACCTTCCACTCTTCTACTATTTCTTTTTTACCATTTCTTTATTTTTCACTCGTTATTTTTTATTATTCTGTCTTTCTTGTTGTTTTTTGTGTGTATGTCGTTCTTCTTTCTCTCCTGTCTCCCCTATTTTACTCTTGATTGCAGCATATATATTATCTTTATCTCTGCAACGTAATACCAGATCAATTTCTCTCTCTTGTTTACTTCTCTCGCCTACTACAGTAAGCTCCTCAATACCACGATAAGATACCCAAGACTGATTCACTTTCCAACTCTTATCCAAAAGCTGTCGGAGTTGTGTCTTTGGGTACCCGACTAGGCTGCCTTCATCCAGACGCCCATGACCACCAAGGGCATCATGACCTCTCCTCCACCCGCGCCAGCAGAGTCATCACAGCTAACCAGAATATTCTTGAACTTTTGGGAGAGTCGATGTTTTTGCCTCCGTTCTACAAGTACTTCCCGTCGAGGATGTATCGTCGACTGTCTCACGCCCAGGACACCATCGCTGGGTAAACAACTCCTTCACTTGATTAATTACCAACCCAACCCAACCCAACCCAACCCAACCTCATAATATCAGTGTAAGAATTCGGGTTCGGTATTAAATTCGGGTTTGAGTATATATGTATGTGGTTAAACTTGCATATAAACGACCACATACATCCTAACTAAAGGGGAAACTGCCTTAAATCCCCAAATGGTTACATAAAGGTGAAAAAATAAAAATAATCTAAACACCTAAAAACCGGATATATAGAGACAACTTAGGAATTAATACTATCAGTGTCTCCTTTTCACCTCTCTTACAGAATAGTTCAGGAGGAGTTGATGTTACGTCAGGAGGAACGAGCCCAAGACCCTGAGGCATTTTCCTTTCACCACCCTTTCCTGGACTCCCTCTTCAGTAACTCTCAGCTTCCCACCATGGACGTCTTCCTCCTGCTGGTGGAGATCTTCCAGGGTGGTATAGACGCTGTAAGTAGGTCCACCTTCCCCCACCATATACTTTCTAGCGACGTTGAGGAGGTAAGTGGGTTGTGTCGTTACTCCAAGATGGTATATAGGACGCTGTGTGTCGTCCCAAGGCGGTAGGATTGGGATAAGGAGGTTTTGTAGATATCCCAGGGCGGTAGGACTGGAATAAGTAGGTCCTGTTATTATCCCAGGGAGGCACGATTGGGATAAGGAGGTCCTGTTATCATCCCAGGGCAGTAAAATTGGGATAAGGAGGTCCTATTATCATCCCAGGGTGGTAGGACTAGGATAAGGAGATCCTATTATCATCCCAGGGTGGTAGGACTGGGATAAGGAGATCCTGTTAACATCCCAGGGTGGTAGTACTGGGATAAGGAGGTCCTGTTAACATCCCAGGGTGGTAGGACTGGGATAAGGAGGTCCTGTTAACATCCCAGGGTGGTAGTACTGGGATAAGGAGGTCCTGTTAACATCCCAGGGTGGTAGTACTGGGATAAATAGGTCCTGTTAACATCCCAGGGTGGCAGGACTAGGATAAGGAGGTCCTGTTAACATCCCAGGGTGGTAGGACTAGGATAAGACAGTTCTAAATCGTATCATCTTTATCTAATTCTATTCTTAATTTGATGATTTCCTTCCATTTCTTTCGTCATATCTTCAATATTTTTTTTTATCTCCTCTGATCTCTTGTTTATTCTCGTTATTGCTTGTTATTGATGGTTGTTTTAGTGTTATCTTATACATATATATATATTTAATCGACTCCATTTATAATAGACGTATGTGTATATTTTTTTAATGGCTTTAATCTTTACCTGTGAAATGTTATCTTAAACAAATCTAATTACAGGTGAGGAATTAAGTGTTTATCTTGTTCTTTACTCTAAAGCCTTGAGGAGTATTAGTCATCACTTATTTGAATAATTAATTGATCTAGTTTCTTAAATCATTAACTCTCATTTTATATAACCAAAAAACCCATATATCAAACCAGGTTGTATATAGTTTTAAAAATTATATATTAAACCTCACTTAATGTATACCAGATAGTTAATTATGAAGTGTAGAGGTGACATAATCAGACGAGACATGACAAACCAGAACAGACATGACATGTTAAGAATATATTCATGTTATTTTCTATATATATTCACTATGTCACGGAGATAAAGGTGAGATATGTTTATGGTGAAACTGTTTTGAATGTTTTAGGTGATGTAAACAAAAGAGGGATGTTTTGAGATGATGTTTTTGTTTTGTTGTTGTTAGAAAATGTTATTGTAGTAGTTATTGTCGTTATTGTTAAGCTGACGGGGTTAGGTGCTTTCCGGCTTGAGTGAAACAGTCGGCAATAATTTTTTCTCTTAACTTGAAAAAAAATAATCTACTCCAGGAGGCTATGGCTAAGGGACATATCACTCACACCCTGTCCTAAGACTCGCTGGTTCGCATCCGAGGGACCCCCAATCGACCCTGATGTGCATGGGTACCTGACTTTATGCTAAGGGTGAAATCCATAAATTTTATATTAGTCGAACAGAAGCGATACATTTGATCATATATAACCAGACGGTATAAACCTTAATGATTTACAGCGAACAACATCCACAACACACACGTCACTACTGAGAATAATTACTATTTCTGCCGAGTGAGTTACACAGGCAAGTTATACGCTTCACAGTCACTCGCCTCTGTAGTGAGTGACGCTCTGGAAATGGATTTGGCTTCTCTCACCTGTCGCTAATAACTGGTTCTTGATTACCTGTGAGGCAGTGATGGGTACAGTGCTACACCTGAACCCCGGCAGTTTGATCGTGTGTGTGTGTGTGTGTGTGTGTGTGTGTGTGTGTGTGTGTGTATGCGCGCGTGCGAGGGGGGGGAGGGTGCACACACGGCCATAATAACTGTCTACTATAAAATGTTACCATAGTGAACATAACACAAACAATACTTAAGACACAGTGTGTTGGGTGTTAAATCGTACACAAACCTGGAGAAAGTTTAAACCATGGTGACCTGTCCAACTGGGTTTTTTTTCAGTGGGGTTGTTTAACTTTTTGAGGACGATGGTTTAACCCTTAAAGGATTATGTTTTAACCCTTTAAAGACGATGTTTTAACCCTTTGATGACGATGTTTTAACCCTTTGATGACGATGGCTTAACCCCTTGAAGACGATGTTTTAACCCCTTGAAGACGATGTTTTAACCCTTTGATGACGATGGCTTAACCCTTTGAAGACGATGTTTTAACCCTTTGATGACGATGGTTTAACTATGGATCATCCAATTGAGGGCAATAATATAATCCTTTAACGTATTTTGAGTCAGAATAATAAACCTAAGTGAGACATTACCGCCGAAAGGGGTTAAAAGCTTAAATCATCGTCCTCAAATATTTAGAATCCTCCTCCTCCTCCTCCTCCTCCTCCTCCTCCTCCTCCTCTATTTAACAGACCATATGGAGAGGAAAGTCCGTTATATTGAGATCCCGTTAGATTTGAAACCTCCAACTAACGAACTATTTAGAGGCGGAAAGCGTGAATGAGTTACAGTAAAATAGTCAATAGTCATGATCAGTCGTGAGTGAGTAACGGGAAATAGCCAATAGTCATGTGGAGTCGTAAGTTACAGGTAATAGGCAATAGTCATGTGGAGTCGTAAGTTACAGGTAATAGCCAATAGTCATGTGGAGTCGTAAGTTACAGGTAATAGGCAATAGGCATGTGGAGTCGTAAGTTACAGGTAATGAAACATGGAGTCATGAAGTTACAGGAAAACAGTTAATAGTCATATATAGTCGTGAGTGAGTCGTGTTTTTTCAGCCACGGGGAAATATTAACGTGTCGTATCGTTTCTGACCGCCACGACTCTGGAAGCTACTGCGTGTGTACTTCCTGGCGAGGGATCAGCAGACTCTTACCTTCTGTACCAGGAAGTGAAGGATGTCATTAGCCGTTCATAACCTTCAGGTAGGTACTTAACTCATCCTTCGAGACACCTCCAAGTACAAACACTCATTACATTTTGATATCCTAATCATCGTAGGATTCCTCGTTAATCCTTCTAAAAGACCGTATATTCAGAAGTTCCTACAAACAACCCTGTCTCACACACAATAAATTCAATACATTTTGTATATTTTCGTGAACTCATCGTTAAAGGTGGAGTCAGGAATCATTAAACATATTTGGATTAAAAGAATAACTTGTACATTGGTGATATATGAATAACTTATACATTGGTGATATATGAATAACTTATACATTGGTGATATATGAATAACTTATACATTGGTGATATATGAATAACTTATACATTGGTGATATATGAATAACTTATACATTGGTGATATATGAATAACAATAATTAATATATCCTGATTGGCAGACATGTTTCAGTATATCATTTGTACTGAATGTTGACAGGAACAATGTTTCCCTGTTACCTAAAGAGCATAGATGGAAACTCCTGGATATTCTTCTACCATTCACAGTCAAAACGTGTCTCATCCCACCCCACCCCCGCCACACCCAACCCCTCCCACCCACCCCACCCCCACCCCCGCCCCTACCCCACCCCACCCCCGCCCCTCCCACCCCCACCCCCCCTCACTTGACTACCAAAGCTTTGAACTGGCTTTGATTTTGGGTTAGAGGTGAGAGGAGAAAGAGGAGAGGAGGAATAGAAATGAGAGAGAGGCGAGAGAGGGAAAGAAGAGAGGCGAGAAGAGAGGAAAAGAGAGAGAGGAACTTGAGAGAGAGGGGGAAAAGAGGTGAAGGAGAGAGAGAGAGAGAGAGCTAAACCAGTGTTATCTCACCTGTATGCATCTCACCTGTCTCAGGGGTTGGTGTACCTGCGGGCGGTGGTGCAGGAAACACTTAGGCTACGGCCCTCAGCCTCCTCCAGGAGTAGATTGATCCAGCAGGACATGGTGTTCTCCGGCTACCTGGTACCTGCAGGAGTGAGTACCTGTCTTGCGTAATTAGTGTTTGTATTTGTTTGTTTGTGGTAGTATTAGATTATTCATTTATTTATTCATTCATTTATTTATTAATTTATTTTATTTATTTATTTATTTATTTATTTATTTATTTATTGTCTTATGTTTAAACTCTCTATGATGTATATTTTTTCTAAGTGTATTTCATCTTTTAAAAACTACTAAATGATTAAATCAATATTTTTACCGTAAATTCCTTCATAAATTCACCTTTTGAGATGAATTTATGACACGAAAGATTAAAGACAGATAGTGTGTGTGTGTGTGTGCGTGTGTGTGTGTGTGTGTGTGTGTGTGTGTGCGTGTGTGCGTGTGTGTGTGTGTGTTTATTTTTGCTGTTTCACCTTTATTCTTCTCCTCTTATCATTATTCTTCCGTTTATTTGCGTTGTCTTCGTCTCCTTCATCCACTAAATGAGGTGATAAACACAAGAGATAACTAGAGAGGGAAACTTGTCAGTGGAAAGTTCTATTATTTGATTCTTCATTTTGTTCTTCTTTCATTTTTCTTCTTTGTTCTTATTTCACTGTCGCTAATGTTCTTTCTGTTCTTCCATCATGGTTAATAGTTTTTTCTGGTTTTTCCTCTTTGGTTATTGTATTTCTTTCATACTCCTTCCTTCCTTCCTCTCCTCTCTTTTTTCCTCTCTTACCTCTCGGCATCTCTCTCCTTCCCTCCCTCTCTTCCTATCTCTCCCTCCTCCCTCCCTCCCCCTTCCTCCTTCCCCCTCTTCCCTGAACACCTTCATATCTACCAAGTTATAGATCAAGGAAGAACTAAGTTGAAAGTCAAAGATTCCCCCCACATTCTCCCCCATCCCCCCCACATCTCCCCATCCCCCCACCTCCCCCATCCCCCCACTTCCCTCCTCCCTACCCCCCATTCTCTTACCGACCATCCTCACCCATTTCACCCCCCACACCTCCCATGAGTACACCTAATTAATCATGTCATTCCAGCGTTATCAAATATTTACCCTAATTATGTTTTTAATCTTATTTTTTAAAACATATCAGGCGAATAAATACGTCTTTTGAGAGAGAGAAAAAAAAATCCTTGAACTCTAAAGATGGATAAATTATCCCCTTAAGAACTACTGGAACGATGATGGATTATGAATGGATATACTTCAAGATGTGTTGTGGATAACTTGAGTCCAATAGGGTTTAATGTTTGGGTTATGTGTAGGGCTGCCAGATGTTGGTTTATTTACTCATAGTGGATATTAAACCCCTCCTTGGTTTATTATTTTGAGACTGTGACAACTGTAAAAGCATAATGTATCAATCCTTTGTTGATATTATAGTTTATTTGTCTTGTTTCTTTGACTCGCCTGTTCCATCACTCGCCTGTTCCATCACTCGCCTGTTCCATCACTCGCCTGTTCCATCACTCGCCTGTTCCATCACTCGCCTGTTCCATCACTCGCCTGTTCCTTTACTCGCCTGTTCCTTTACTCGCCTGTTCCATCACTCACCTGCACCACATCACTCGCCTGTTTACATCACTCGCCTGTACCATCACTCGCCTGTTCCATCACTCGCCTGTTCCATCACTCGCCTGTTCCATCACTCGCCCTGTTCCATCACTCGCCTGTACCATCACTCGCCTGTTCCATCACTCGCCTGTTCCATCCCACTCGCCTCCAACCTGCATCACTCGCCTGTACCATCCCTCGCCTGTTCCATCACTCGCCTGTTCCATCACTCGCCTGTTCATCACTCGCCCTGTTCCATCACTCCCGCCTGTTCCATCACTCGCCTGTTCCTTTACTCGCCTGTTCCATCACTCGCCTGTTCCATCACTAGCCTGTTCCATCACTCGCCTGTTCCTTTACTCGCCTGTTCCATCACTCGCCTGTTCCTTTACTCACCTGTTCCATCACTCCTTATAATGCCATTACTCGCCCGTTCTGCTATCGTACACATTGTGTTGATGTTAAATGTATGAGCCCATGTGTGTCCGCTTTGTTCATTAAGTAAAATAGTATTAGTGTGTTTGTCTGTCTAATATAGCATTATAAGAAGGTAAAAAATAACACTGGTGGTACATATCTTACTAGGTGGTGTTTATGGTGGGGGTGTTGTGTGTTTATGGTGGGGAGGTGTAGTGTGTTGTGTGTTTATGGTGGGGAGGTGTAGTGTGTTGTGTGTTTATGGTGGGGGAGGTGTAGTGTCATTGTGTGTGTTTATGGTGGGGAGGTGTGTAGTGTGTTGTGTGTTTATGGTGGGGAGGTGTATTGTGTTATTAGTAATTTATGGTGGGGAGGTGTAGTGTGTTGTGTGTTTATGGTGGGGAGGTGTAGTGTGTTGTGTGTTTATGGTGGGGAGGTGTAGTGTGTTGTGTGTTTATGGTGGGGAGGTGTAGTGTGTTGTGTGTTTACATTATGGGTGGACTCCTGTGTTGTGTGCTCTTGTAAATGTACTTATGTGTGTTTACTTATATTCACGTAATTATATCAATGCTACTGACTGTACTATTACTTCTAGGATAACCCAGCCAGCCACACCTTATGTCATTACGCCTTGTCAGCATTATTTGCATTTCAGCGCCAATTACAGGCTCCCCCGTTAGTTGTTAGCTGGACATAGATGTGACTCGTTAGGTTAGGTCATCTTCTCTGTACCGAGGGCCCCTTGTGTGTGATACAGTGACTGTTAATATGGAATATACATTTTACAGTGTGTTTTAGTATCTGATTAAACTAAGACTTTCACCAGGGCCTTGTAGTTATTGAGGGTCTTAAAGGCAATACAATAACAATTAACACAATTATCCTGTGGTGCGATGCGACCGGCGGTAGTGCGCTGGGACGCCTCTATGAGTAGATCATAATACTGTACACGCGGGAACTGCTCCAGGAAGTGTCTCTCCACCTCATCTTCTCTACAGCTCCCATTTCTTCACACCTATTACTACAGGTTTTACTACAAGCTACAGAGCAGCTGTTATAGTGACAACAGAAGCATGTTAGTAGTTATACTCATACTACTGTGCTGTTGTGGTGTGTTACAGACCCATACCATACATCAGGCTGCCTCTGTTATTTGCTCACACTACCCAGGGTTAACCTTCTTGCTCCCCCAGACTTTCGTGACCTCACCTCCAGTAGTCGCTTGTCACGACCCTCAAGTGTTTCCTCAACCTGACGTCTTCTGGCCCGAGCGCTGGCTGTCAACCTACTCCAGAACGACCTCTTCCACCCATACCACACCCACCCAGGACCCACCACCCGCCCACCACAATACACCCACGCAGAACCCACCACCTTCCCACCACAACACATCCACCCAGGACCCACCACCCGTCCACCACAACACACCCACTCAGGACCCACCACCCGCCCACCACAACACACCCACCCAGGACCCACCACCCGCCCAGGAGTCACAAGAGGACGCTAGCGGGAAGAGGATTCATCCCTATACCATCGTCGCCTTTGGTCACGGTGCCCGCATGTGTCCTGGAAGACGTCTGGCCGAGCTGGAGATCAAGGTGGCACTCGTACAGGTAATATGACATAATTGGGTCGAGGCTGATTAATCCAATGGGCCCCAGGACTAATAGGCCCTACAACTTAACATTGACATTTGGGTAGGGGCAAGTCTTAATGGACCCCTGTCTTAATGATTAGGGTGATGGAGCCTAATGATAATAATAATATTAATGATAATAATAATAATAATAATAATAATAATAATCATAATCATAATAATATTAATAATAATAATGATAATAATAATAATAATAATAATAATAATAATATGACAATGATAACGTTGACTATGACGACGACGATGATGATAATAAAAACTTTAATTGGAAAATAATTTATGACCTTTCTACTCAACAGCTGGTGAAGAACTTCAAGATGGAGACGGACAGGTCATCTGAAGGTCACATAGGTCAGGTCATGAGACTAAACATGATGCCTGACAAAGACTTGGCTGTCACCTTTACTCCCAGACAAGAGTAAACACGGAAGGAAGGAAGGAAGGAAGGAAGGAAGGAAATGAAAATAAGACGATAAGTAAAGAAGATACTGAGTGTATTTAAAATTATAAACATAAAAAAAAATAAGTTGAAGAAAAGAAAGATAAAAGAAGAAATGAAGAAAATTATAAGAACAGAAATATAGTTCCATCTCCGAAATGTAAGGAAATTGATAAGACGAAAAAGAGAAGATGGAAAATGAAGAAAAAATGAACGAGTAAAATTATAAATAAAACATTATGTAAATAAAACAAAAAATAACAGACGAAGAGCAGGACAATTGTTGAAGTTCTACGTGAAAAGAAGTGAAAATAATCCGAAGAATGAAATAAAAAAGAACAACAAAACAATACATTAATAATAATATTTTGGTACTAAGAATAAAGGACTATATCATAGCTAAACTTCTTTTGTGTCCCAATGAATCATGTAATCACTGTATTTCAATGGTTGGTCACTACAATACAGTGCTTACAGTGATAACCAACAATACACACGTTAAATCCTTCACTGTTGAAGTATAGTGACATGACAGTAACACCAGCAAGTATAGTGATAGTACAGTGAACAAGGTTAAAATGTGTTACAGTAACCAGTAGCGGGAAGCATGACCCTCACTCTGCCAAACTACAGGCACAGCGACCTTTGACCTTTGAGGGGGAGCTGAATTTTATTGAATCTCTCTAAAATTTTGCGCAGGTTATTTTTTTTTATGAGTCCTCCCTGTATCATATATCTCCTTTAACACACAGAACATAGTGTTGGGTATTCCGAACTGTAGTGTTAACAGAATGAAGAGCACATTCATACTTGCCCTTCATTCTTTATCGTTCTTTCTTCCTTCTATAATCAGTGTTCTATGTCATTCTCGTTTCACAATAAAATCCATAGATATCCATTAAATTTGTCCCCCGTCACTTCATCACCCGTTCGTAACACATCTTCTCACGAAAAAAAACTCGCTTCACGCCTTGTTATCCACTCGTTCACGCACCCTGACGCTTTCTAGACATTCACTCTGCGTTCATCACTTTTAGCGCGTCCTTCACCCTACCAATCAGTACTGTGACTTATAGGAAGAGTTCTTGTACTCAATAACTCTAAAATTCCTTGATGACAGGAATTTTACTTTTAAGTTTATACCACACGAGTCTTCACCAACCCGCTGATATCCCCAAAAAAAAACAGAGGCTATATGTAATTTCATTCCTGTGTTGTAAAAAAAAAAAGTTATAATTTTACAAGTTTTCGAAGATTCTTGGTGAGGAAAATTAGGCCTAGTGTTTTATTGCGGCGGTGAGGAGTTCCGTGGTTTTTTTTTTTTTTTTGGTAGAAAGGAGGGTGAAAGAAGATTAGAGGTGGGGAAGGAAGTTATAGTTCGGAAATTGAAGACATTTAGGGAGGAGGTATGAGAGGGCGGGCTGACAGCCTAGCTAAGCTAATGGTGTGTTAGGGTTGTGTCATGGGTTAGTTATTGTCCGTCGGTACAGGCACTAGACATCCTACCCTGTCCCATATATGGGTGTTTAAGGGCCTAATTTCATATTCCGCCGACCCTACTGGCGGATGCTGGTCTAGGGAGGTTGTCTATTGCCTGGCCGTGTAGATCGGGGGTGGTAATGGACCTTTTGAGATTTGGTAACGTTTTGGGAACCATGTATGGTTGTTGTCGTTATCTGGTGGGAGTCTTTGAAAGAGTTCTTGCTCTGCTCGTTCTATCTTTTGCCAGACTCTGCTGGCCAGGGTGTGTAAGAAGAAGAGGAGGAGGAGGAGGATATGGGGAAGAGGAAGGTGGAAGGGGGAGAGGTGATGCAAAGATATAGAGAACGTGAAGAGGAAGGGGGGAGAAAATGGTGAGTAGAGAAGAGATTAGGGAAAAGAGGTGAAGGGGATGAAGGAGAGGAAGGGGAGGAGATGGGGAAGAGACCGAGAAAGAGGACGAGGTGAAGAAGAGACAGAATATAAAGATAAAACAAATAGAGTTCCTCCTCCTTCTCATTCTTCTTCCTCGTCTGTGTTTCGTTTAATCTTCTTCATTCTCTTTCTCATCGTCTCCTGTCGTACTTCTTAAACCTCCTCATCTTTCCCCCTTCCTTTTCCCATTTTTCTTCCTCGTCTATCATACATCATCCCACTCCTCCTGCTCCTCCTCTTGGTTTCGTCTAATCTTCCCCACTTCCTCTCTTAACCTTCTCTTCTTCTCTCTGCACCTCCACCATTCATTCTCTCTCTCTCTCTCTCTCTTTCTCTTTCTCTTTACTTAACCTTTTGAAGTTTCACCATGACTCAGCCGTGATGTTCGTAGGTCCTCCGTTCTTGTTCCTGATAGTGTTATTCTTGTTTGTCCTGAGGTTACACCCAGCTGTTTCTCTTCCCTCTTTCTCCTTGTGATTTTATTTTGCTTTCATCTTTCCTTGTATCTACTTATACTTCAATTATTATTATTATTATTATTATTATTATTATTATTATTATTATTATTATTATTATTGTAGTTTGAATGTGTGACTTACCTCAACACTTTCCCTCCATCCGATTCTGTCTCCTCCAATACTTATGCCGGAGTGATTTTCATTAGTTATATCAACAGCCTTAATTAATGCATTCAGTGAGTCACTCTTATATTAAATTGTTGTCTCTTATTGGTGTGGAAATTACAAACCAGTTTAACAATAGTTTCATTTTGGTTGAAGTCGGTTTTAATCTCGTGAAATTACAGGAGAAGCAGCGAAATTGCAACAGGACTAAGGATTTGAGGTAGTTTCAAAGTCTCGAGGGCCAGAATTTAGGGATTGGACGTGTAAGATGTCAGGTTTCAGGTTGCAACGCTAAACTGAAAAGCAGAAACTTGTGATGTATTCTGTGTGTTGGTTTGACTTTCTGACTTGACCTTCATATTATTGTGGGTATTTGTTTGTTTGTTTTTTAGGTCTCCGAGTGTGTTGTATGCTTGTGGTGGTGGGTGGAAGGAGTGATTCGTCTGGGAGGTGGGTGGTTAGGAAGGGTGATTCGTCCAGGAGGTGGCTAGGTGGAGTGTTTTGTCCGGGAGGTGGCTAGGTGGAGTGATTTGTCCGGGAGGTGGCTAGGAGGAGTAACTCGTCCAGAAGGTTGATGTTGTTAAGGCTGTATACATTGACAGTATTTGTTCTTCCAATATTAAGTAAGCTGCACTTGCTGGAATACTTGACCTTTGTCCAATATACCTGGAAAAATTCTTGGGATTCGCCTTGGATTCTCTTGCTATCCTGATCTCATAGTCCCTCTTTGCCTTCCTGACATTTTTCTTAACATTCCTAGATAGTTCATTATACCTATTTCTGAACTGCTCCTCCCCTCCCTTTAATTTCTTATAAATTCCTCTCTTTATTCGCATGTCATGTTTAAGTTTTTTGGTCATCCACTTTGGCTCATTCTTATTTGAACTAATTTTTCTGTATGGTATATTTTGTTCTTGTACTTTACGTAGTATACTAGTGAATATATTATAGTCATGATCAATTGTTGTGTCGCCTGTGACCTCACCCGTTCCTACCGGGGACTGACCTGACTATTCTCAGGCGACCTCACCTAGGTACCTTCTTAACCCCTCATAATCCGCCGATCGAAAGTCTAGGACTCTGACCATATTATCATTGTTTTCGTTTCCCAATTTAGGGTGAACCTGATTTCTCTGTGATCACTGTTACCTAGTTCTTCCCCTACTGTGGTATCTCTGATAATATTTTCTTTATTTTTCTTAATACTAGGTCTAATATATTGTCACCTCTAGTAGGTTCTGTAATTAGTTGTTTCAAAAAATTGTCCTGTACTGCGTCTAGGAAGTCTTCAGATTCATAGTCACCTACAATGTTGTCCCAGTCAATATTTCTGAAGTTGAAATACCCCATAATGCACAGGTTGCTGTATTTTGCTGCCCTACTCATTTCCTGCCATATAGACTGAGCTGCTTCCTTCCCAAGACTTGGGGGCCTGTAAATCACTCCCATAATTAGTTTTTCTCTTCCTTCCGCAATTTCTACCCATACAGACTCGGTTCCAATTTAACCCTTTATTGAATTATTAATGCAACATTTTAATGAATCCCTGACGAAGAGTGCGACCCCTCTCCCCTTCCTACCTTCCCTGTCCTTGTGAAAAAGGTTGTACCCTTCTATGTGGTACTCTGATAAAAAGTTCTTGCTCGCCAGATTCATCCAAGTTTCGGTGATTGCTATGACGTCTATATTCTCGGTACATACAACCGCTCTCAGCAAGTCTATTAAATTTCTATCGCTCTTACTGTTTGTATAGTATACATCTAAACCTGACCTCTACTCGTTAAATTTAATCCGTTTACGCTTCCGTTCGCGACATGAATATAGGTGCACAATAAACTAGCCGCCGTATATGGCAAAATACAAAAGCGGATACCCGCCTTTTTTATTACATACCAGGCAACATCTCACACACACACACACGTATAGATGATCAGTAAGGAGGAGCCTCGACCTGAGCCCTGACAGAACGTTACAGGTGTACTATTTCGTCAGACCGCGGTGAGGAAGTATATGAGAGTGATTTAGGAAGTTATATTTATGTTCCATATAACATATTTAGGGGGTGTGTGTGTGTCTGTCTGTCTGTCTGTCTGTCTGTCTGTCTGTAATTAGGTTAGATTAGGTTAGTTATTAGTTGGAATAAGCTGGAGTTGAGATTCTTCATGTTAGGTTAGGTTGGGCTGGGTTATTATCCAGCGTAATCCTCCCACACACCCCAGCAAAATGATTCACAATGGAGACTGATTAATGAATGCTTGTGTTGTGATAATAATTCCTCTTATTGATTAAGGAACTTTAAATAAAATGGGACGAGGTTGAGTGATGGTTGTTGAACTGATATAGAAATGTTAAGTGGTAGTAGATATAGTGTAAAATAAGTCATTGAGTGATAATGTAGTTGTGTAGTACCCAAGTTTGGTTCACTTGTATGTTACTGAGGAAATTATTCAATCATTCAATCAGAATTATTGTTGTTTTTTATGCAAACACACATGCGGACAAGTACACACACACACACACACACACACACACACACTTAATATCTTAATTCATTTCGTCTACATTTAGTTCCCCTGATCGGTTCGGAAGGTTTGGAGTCAGTAGTGTAAAGCTGTCCTCTTCTGTGCCTCAGCCAGTGATATTAGTACTAAGGATAAGCTGTTTAGCCTCATGCTCTTGTGTCTGTTTAGAGACTCGAGAGTGGCATGTCATGTACCGTGGGAATAGTTAAAGGGATCAGGTTTTTATTCTCACTTCCACGTTCACATCTTAGATAACCCCCAAGTTTGTTATGACTCTTCCTGGACAGTGTATTTTCATCATCAAATAGGATATGTTATCGTGTGTCTCTTGTTAGAACG